AAGTACCATTGGAAATCTAAGTGGCAGTCAGACCCTCCGTTCCTCAAGGAAACACCTCAATCTGGGTAAACCCTGTCCACCCTCCAACGAGCAAGTCAGTAACTGGAACAACCTTCACAGACTTCATTCAGAGAAAGACACCTCTTCTGGAAAAGTGAGTCCTTTTGTCTTTATTCCCTTTTGCAAATCGAAGCTCAAATTTCCCACTGAGCCTGAACTAACCACAGGAATGTCCCCTTCATTTTTCAGTCCAGTTCACCACTGTTCAGAGCAGCACTGGACCCATCTCTACCAGTTCTCAAACTTGTTAAACCTTCCCCTGGTCTCTCTGTTTGGTTTTCTGCATGTGGGTCAGATCTTTGAATAAAATCATGACANGGGAGCGGGAGCAGACCAATATTAACTAAAAAAAACAAGGATCGATGCCAAAAAATAAAATATATTAGAAAGAAAAAAATCCAGTACTGGCGCCGCCATTTTGTAGTTTTTTTCCTTGAAGCCTACACTATAATGCGAGTCAGAAAAACTACACGACCCAAAAAACAACAGTGTTTCCGCTATGGACCCTTCATAGAAATTCAGATTCAATGTATTGGCAGAAATCTTATTGAAGACAACAATAATGGGAGCGGGATGGGAGTGGGAGTAATTTCACCAGGAGTGGAACGGGGGACAGTCAACTAAACTTTGTGCTATATTTCACAAATGCAGCTATGTGTTTGATCTATTAATGTGTCATTCCAACAGTTAGGATATCGTCAGACTGAAGATCTGAAGGTACCTGGTTCAATCCCGGGTATTGGCAAATGCCAATGTTGCACTTCAGGATGTAGCCGAGTCTTGCTCTTCCAAAGGGGTCCAAGTATCTAGTCTTTTGCTTCACCTCAAATGGTAAAAATATAACTTTTAACATACAAGGACAGTTGAGGTCAAGCTTTTCATTTACACTGCAGTCAACTCAAATTTGCGCTATATTTTACAAATACATCTATGTGTTTGATCTATTAATGTGTCATTCCAACAGTTAGGATATCGTCAGACTGAAGATCTGAAGGTCCCTGGTTCAATCCCGGGTATTGGCAAATGCCAATGTTGCACTTCAGGATGTAGCCGAGTCTTGCTCTTCCAAAGGGGTAGCCGAGTTACGAAGACCAGTTGCGGCGAGAGCCAAAGATATTGGTGAGTTAGAATAAACCCATTTTTCTTTGTTGAGCTGCAGTGAGGTTAACTGTTCAGGGAATTATTGTTTTATTTTCATGTGTAGGTATATGGTACGACATTCTGAGAGGAGTGGCAAAAGTTGCTGTTATCATCAATGTAAGTAAAACTAAACAAATCCACAAAAACAATCCACTGGACTTTGTTTACAAGTTTAAAGACGTTTCTCTTCCCATCCAGGAAGCTTTTTCTGCTGGTTGACCTGCTCGTTCGGTTCAATTTGCATGTTTTCTAATTGAAAACATGGCTTTGTTTTTGGTCCACTCTATAAAACCTCAAAGTTATTGCTATTTCTGACAGTTTTATTGAAAGAGCTTCCTGGGTGGGGAGAGAAAGGTCCTCAAACTTTAAAACAAAGTCTAGTGGATTGTTTTTTAAATTTTTTGGAATGACAATGACCCGGATTACTGAGAATCTTCACCAGCATCTGTAAACATGTATACTTCGAATTAGATTATGCCAGACCTTTAACTTGGAATATTTCATAGGGTGTTCACCTTTTGTATCATATCTCCAGCTGTGCATGGTGTATCGGGGTCGGGGGATCCTCCCCATGGAAAATGTTGAAATTTAGACTCTGAAACACTATTCCCTGCATTTTGAGTTGGAATGCAGCTCACATTTTGTCTTTGTTTCAACACCACTTTAGTCCTGATTATTGGAGGTATGTGTGCTTGACTAGAGGTGGAAATGTCATAAGGAATACATGAGATCATTTTTATACAATATTATGTGTTAGCCCAAAGATGACTCCACTTTGATATAAGTTCAGGAGAACTTTTATTTGTTTTTCTCCACCATAAACATACAGCCAACATCCTACAGTTAACACCCACGCCGAACAGAGGAGCCATAGCCAATCCTGCAGAGCCCCCTAGTGGGCTGGCATAGAATTGAACATAAACAAAAGACTAACAATCTCACTCTCTTCTTAAAAAAAAAACAACAACAAATAAACAAAACATACATAAAGAATTGAATGCATCAAAACAACACATAGCAAAGCACAGCTATTTAGCGATACTGCTAAGCCAATGTTTCTTTTTTTTAACAAAAAATTTGAACAAGTTTCTTGCTACATTTATGATAAGGTCCAACAGCCTTCATAAAGACCCTTAAGTAACAAGGTTGTGGATGCTCCCTTCTTTGTCAAGCTTAGTTTTTGACCACAAAACCTGATGAACTCTCTTAGTTTGGATCTGTTCTTTAATAGAACTGATTTCCAGGCGTAGCCTTTTCTCAGCAACAAACTTGGTTGACATAAGCGCTTGGTTGACAGTGCGGAGACAAAAAATAGCATTATCAATCCCCTCTGACATAGCCAGTGTTTCACCTGCAAGCGTGCTTCTAACAATCCTCTTAATCCTTTTTGACTGCCAAGAAATGGGAGAGAATAGATCGTTGACACCCATACAGACAATGAGAACCCCCCCTGAGTACCTCCGTCTGAAAGGTTCCCAAAAGATGCATCAGTAAACGTAACTATCTTTAAGTTACTGTTTTCGCCAAGATGCTGAAAATTCAGTTCAACTGACTTGGCTTTGAGTTTACACACAACTCTGTTTGCCTCACATATGGTCTGTACTGTGGCCTGTTTGAGACTAGATGCCAAATTACTTGCATCAAACATGACATCAGGCCTGCTCTGTCTTGCAGCCCACAATAGTTGGCCTATCTTTGACCTGAGCTGCTCCCTCTCCTCCTCAGTGAGAGGGGAAGCTGACTCTGCTGCTCTAGAGGGTGAGAGGTTGATAGGCTGCAGGTTTTGGATGTATGTCTGTTGATGTATCTTAACCTTGGTACCCAAAGTAACAAGGTCCACATCTACACAGGAGAAGGTTTCATGAGCTTCATGACCAACATTAAACTGTGATCTAAGGTTCGGTATGACTGACTCTGAAAAAAACTGGGATCCTCCCCATATAAAATCATCAACATGACAAGCAAGGACACCCATAACATTCTTGCTCTCATCAAGCCAGTAGAAAACTGCAGGATCAACCTTAGACACAACACCTCCTGCTTCTAACATGATGCTCTTTACTCTGTTGTACCAATACAATGAAGCATCTGCTAGACCATACACACATTTTCTCAGTTTCCAAAGCACACCTGTGCTATTAGCCTCTGGAGGTGGTTTGATGAAAATGTCTGCATAGTTCCATTCCTTGTAGGAAAGCAGATTTAATGTCCATGGAGTGAAGTTTCCATTGTTTCTGACATATCACTGCTACTAGGAGTCTCAGTGACTCTGAGGCACAGGTAGGTAAGTCCTTTTGTAAGTCAGAAACTTGTAGTTCCTGGAATCCCCGTGCAACAAGCCTTGCCTTTGGTACTAATCCATTTTCACTTTCTTTCATAGTGCACACCCAGCGAGTGGAGATGCACTTTTGACCTTTGTCCTCAACTTCTTCAAACATTTGGTTTTGTTTCGACCTTTTTATTTCATCCTGCTGCATCCAGTGAAATATCTATGCTCAGAAAAATATCCTCATGTGTATCCATTTCAGCAACATTGCCAATAAAATCCCAAGAAGTTTGAGGCTGTGACATTGCAAACTGCTAATTAATAATATATAAACACCTTTAAATTTGTACAGTGGGTACATTTAACATATTGGTCCACAGAGGTGTCAAGTAACCAAGTACAAATACTTCATTACTGTACTTAAGTACACTTTTTAGGTATCTATACTTTACTCCATTACTTTTTTTTCTTCCTACTTCTGACTTCTACTCATTACATTCTCACACAAGTATCTGTACTTTCTATTCCTTACATCTTTAAAACAAACGTTACTCATTACTCTTGGCTTCGGTTTAATGTTTATAAATATTTATTTCACGTCATGTGCTCCATCCAATGCAGATCATTGGCTTCATCCACATCTAGTGAAAACTAGTGTCATTGGATGAGTCATATAACGCAAACACTCATTGGTTAGCTAAAGGAAATCATCAGAAGCAAGCAGGTGTTCTTCAAACTGCTAACGTGAATTGTCTATGCCATGCTACAATGTAGGATTCAGAAAAATATGTTGAAATGTCTGAAAGGTCGGACACAGGAGAGAGCGTATCTGGAGATGGAGACCAACAAAACCTCCCTCATCCTAGTCTCTATCTCAAAGAATTTTTATAGATAGTTAGAAAAATTCAACTTTCAATTGATATAGTGGCATCTGGCTGGCTGTTTTTTTTAAAGGTTACTTTATAGGTTTACACTTTTAGTAGTTTTTGGAGAACATACTTTTTCACTTTTATTTGAGTAAAGAGGTCAAGTTGATACTTCAACTTTTACCAGAGTGTTTTTAAACTGCAGTATCTATACTTCTACTTAAGTAATAAATGTGGGAACTTTTGACACCACTGTTGGTCCTTTCCATTCAGATTTCCTTCTATAACGAGCCAGATGAATAAACAATGTGATCGGTTGTAAAGCTACCACACATGACCTCATACCGGCATCTCAGCTCCCCAAAAGAGACCAAACCAACACATAGAGTGGGTTTGTCCCAGGCCTCTGCTGCAGTGAAGGTAGCCACTGTAGCTGCTGATGAAGGAGCCATTTATCACGTGTTTTTCCACGGTTTAGTCAGACAGGAAGGCAAAAACAAACTCAAAGCCAGGGCTGTGCTTCAGTTTACCTAAAATGTTGTGACTTCAAGGAAACCCTTTTCCAGGAAATGACAAAATAAATAAATTAGTGCATGTGTCTCTCATCATTTCAGACGCACCAAACTGAAAATCCAAAAAGGAAAAAAACTGAAGAATGAGACCACTGAGACAAATTAGGACAATGTTTTATTCGTTGAAATGTGCTGTCTGGTCACATCAGGAGTCAGAATCTGGAACAGGTCCCAACAGCAGTTATCTGTGTTTAGTTTGCTGTGTTTGTTGCATTCAGTAAACGGTAAAACAGTGATACAGAACCACATTTATTCTTGAACTTCTAACTTTGTCAGTCCAATTCCAGAAATATTACCCACTCCACCCTTGGTAAAATGTCAAGATTTTCCAAACCTGTCAATATAGACACTTGACCTTTCCTTATTTCAAGACACAGAGGTTTTTGAGATCAACCCATCAGTTTTCTTTGAAAAGCAAGCCAAACATTGACCCTAAAAGCCTCACCAAACTGCCCCCTCCCCCAAAACCACTTATATCTGAACTACTTCCAGCTTCACGATGGATCAAGAAGCATCTTTGCAATGAAGTATGACGATACTCTAAATACAGCATGAACCCTCCCCAGCAAACAGGCTTTAATGAAAACATGCTCTACGTGTCCTCCTCGGTGCAGTCGGCTCTAAGAGCGCAAACACTCAGCAAACTCATAAGTTTGCTGGTGATAAATACTATAAACCAAAAAAAAAAAAGTTAAACACTCCCAAAAGAAAATGCTGCTCCAACTGAAATGAATTGCTTCAACTGGTAACAAGTAATTGAATCGAGTTGATCCAACTAATTTTTTTAAGTTTATAAATTGAAAACTAAAAATTTAAGTTGGGCTCATTCAAATTCTTGTTACCAATTGAAGCAAGTAATTTTAATCGGAGCAGGATTTTCATTTTAGAGTGAAACTGTCTGCACTGTGCAAGTTATGGACAGATCCTGCTGTTCAGAAAATTACAGATAGGATATTTACAGTGAAACACTGTTCTCATATCAGTGGAGATGGAAAATAAGGCACCATTTTGCACTGGGGAGTGATAAATAAGGATCAAGTGTGCAAAACTACTGTAGATGCTCACCTTCTAGATTGATTAAAATACCCCTAAGGTGTAGCTCAGGGGGGTATTCAGCACCTTGCAAAAATATTCACACCCCTAAAACGTTTTACTTTTTTTCACACTCACAAACTTCAATGTATTTAAGTTACATTCTAATTAATTAACGCTATGCCTGATTTTGAAATAATAGAAAAAGTAAAGTGTGGCATGTGTTTGTAATCAGTCCTCCTCAACCGATACTTTATAGAAGCCAGGTTTTGCTTTTGCATTGCCTCTTTGCTATGTTTTTGCCAGCTTTGCAAATGTACTCAGTGGCTTGGGACACAGAGAGTCTGTTAACTTTGCTTTTAAGTCTTGGCTTTAAAACCAATCCGTTTAGGCTCATGCTACCTATTTATGGTTGTAAGTCTGCTGAAAAGTGAACCTCTACTCCAGCATTGTCTTTTATACCCTTTCATAGTAATCAACCCTGACCAGATTTCTTGTTTTTAAAGAAGAAATAAAGCCCACGGTCTAATGCTGCCACCACCATGTCTTTGAATGGGAATATTGAAGCTCAGGTTATGGTTCTGCTGTATTCTCTCTCCCTTTTTAGATCTGGGTTTCCTGGTTTATGCTCAGAAAGCAGGTTGTCTGTGTGTGTGGCAGTTAACTCAGATATGTCCCCCCCACCCACAATCCTAGCTAGTTCATGATTGTCCCTCTTGCGTTTTGGCATGGAATAACATAGCGCAGACCACGCTTCACTATTGGGCAAAAATATGCGCACCAAACTGCTGCAGGTGTATAACCAGCCCTTAAGGCTTTGAAAGAACAGCCCGATTCATACCGACGCATTTTATCAAACAGGTGACTTGTGACGGTAATTAGTTGCTTTAGGTTTTATGTATAGTATCATAATTAAGGGAGCTATGTACAAATGAACAGCATGCTTTACCTTGACATAATCATAATCTATTTAGTGATGCTTGTTGAGTCTGATCAGAGTTGATATAAGGATGGATGAAAATGTGAAAGAACTGAATATTTGAATACTTTAATTTATTTTTATTGTACTGATTTGAGCAAAATGTGACCTCTTCTCTTTTACAGCTCTACATTGCTTTGTTAGTCTGTCACAAAAAGTCATTTGAAATACATTGAAGTTTGTTGTTTCAGGGGTTTAAGATGCATGGCACTGTTTCCCTCCCATCTCTTTTGATAGGTTGAAAAAAGAAAAAGAAGTTACAGAAATATATTTAAGGTGCACTGGATTCAAATGATTAGCACAGACATGAGAGAAGTCTCCAAAGTGCATACGTGCCGATTATTTCAATCCAGGGTGGCTGAATCAGGTTTCTAATACTATGTTGCCCTGGTGGCACCGTGGATATCATACTTACGGTCGCGTTGAGATAAAATGCTGTATCAGTTATCTATGTCACAACCAAAAAGACTGATATCCACTGTGTGGCTCTAAAAAGGAGGAATCTAAGAAACTACAGCACTTTTAAGGAACACAGATCTAGAAAAAAGGTAAATTTAATAAAAGGAAGGGTTGAACTGAATTCACCCTTCCTGAGCTCTATGCATGTGACCCTGCAGCCTCTAGTAAACAGTGCCAACAGATTAACTCCAGGATGCTGAATCATAAATAAGATTTGTATTTGAGGACTTTACCTTCAGAGGAAGCAGGATGACATTCAAAGATCAGGAACATCAGTCAGGTTTTTTTTTATTATTGTCTAGATGTGCTTTCATGAGTTTATATACAGGGTAGGGCATGCTATCTTTTTGGTCTGGCATTTGTATTCGTGTCCATGCTTCTTTAGAAGGAGGTTCCTTTGTGGCTCTCTGTTGCATGTCCTTTCAGTGTCGCTCAGAGCTGTGCCCTCTGTTCCTGTTGGCTGCTGACATCTTTACTCCGTCTCCTCAGGGACCTTTTGTGTAGCCTGTTGCTGTTGGCTCCGGCTGGGGAGAGAAAAGGTACGCATGCTGATGAAATTATATATATCTATATATATATATATCTATATACTATAAATCCTCTAATATAGGCAAGGGGCCTTTATTTCACTCAGGTAAATCTTGGTCCTGGTCTTTATTGGAAGAAGGCCAGAAATAGAGGCAGGCCTCTATTTCTATTTGATGAAAACAGACTACCAGTGGAATGAAAAAAAAAACAAGATTTTTTGTGTCTTTGAACCTATAAAATACTAGGTTCATTTACTGAAAAAGTACAGTTACCATAACGGTATACAGAACATTATTCAGACATCTTCCAGCAGCTGCGATTTTTCTGTGCGGCAATATGAAGAAAAAAAAGACACAGAATGGAAATCTTGGCCAAACTGAGTTTTAAAAAGAATCAATGGAAACTGTTCTGCCATCACAGCAGCATTTTATTTGAGGCAGGCTAAGTGGAAGTGGGCTACCAGTATCATATATTTCAAGGGAAATTCAGAACAACGGAGGCCAACGAAATTCTGTCATTCTAATGCCGCCTGGTTACCACCAGACCTAGCCTCGTGAGACCATCCTGATCTCGCGAGCTTTCAAGGTTTCACTCGCAGATCAGTCTTGGGACTCCGTTAAAGAAAATTTGGAGCCGTTCTCCAAACGAACGTCCAATCAGCGTTGGCTTTGAGGCGGGTTGAGCTGTGACGCAACGAGAAGCGCGACAGTTCAGTCTAAAGAACATGGCGGCTTCAGCCGATGAAACTAGCGTTAGCGTGGCTATCGAGCAAGTTTTATCGGAATTACAGAGTATTTCTTCACTGAAAGAAGAGCAAAACACTGCTCTGGAGGCTTTTCTCTTCTCCCGACTGGTTTCGACAAGAGTTTGATCTATCAATTGGCTCCTCTTCTTCGTCACTCCGTGACGTCATATGCTTCGTTGATCTGATTGGTTTATTTGGCCCGTCTATCACCAACATAGGCCAATCAGCTAACCAGTATTTTTCCCCCTTCCCAAAATTACTTCAACTGAAGGTTTCCAGAAAGATTTGCAGAGCAAATACATCGGGCGGAGTCAGGTTAGCTATTTGCTGCTTCTCCCCA